GGCTTTACTGGATGATCTTCTCGGTGATGAACATAATAAACTGATTGACCTATTAGATCGTATGGGTGCTAAATCAATTCCAACAAGAGAAAACTTGAAAGCTGTGCTTTTAAATGTTGCACATAAGCTTATCATTCAACAGCCAAAGTATGCTCTTGATAAAATGTCACAAGTTGCAAGAACAACATTTGCACATGCCTTCAGAAGCCAACTGAATATTGTAGAAATGTATGAGAACATGAAACCTACAGCGAGAAAGGTTCTTAAGTTATTTGAAGCGAGTCCTGCTACACAAGCTGAGAGCCAGAGTCTGAGGTGCTTACAGCAGTATGTGAGAACTGGACCAGGCAGGCCTCAGAAAGTTTCTGCGATTTACCACTGGCTCAGATGTGCTTTGTATTAAAAACATTGACGTTCTCTTCACATCTTTAGATGGAGTAGCACGACGGCCAGTTGCACATACATGTGGTCCAGTCTTGGAGCTACCTTGGACTTACCTGTCTTTCCCAGAGCTGCGTGTGGAGTTTGACAGCATACTGAGCAGCCAAAGGTGCTTTGACATGGACATTGTGTGAGATTGAAGATAAATATCATGTTAAGATCTTTTCCATGCCAAAAAGGCAAATTTTTAATGGAAAAAATGTGCACCAACATATAAAATGTTTTGATTCAGGTGTTGTCAGTATGCTACGAAGTTCAAAAGGAAAATTTGCATTTCACTCAGGAAAATAGAGGCAAGATTATGTCAGGAACACAAACAAAGGCAATGCACAACTATAGCATGAATAAGTTTTTCTTATTGCTGCCAGAAAGTAAAAAAAAAATGATAATAACACATAAATAACTAGTTTAAGGGGTCATATTGCAGTAGATCTTAAGATTTTTTTTGAGTTAAACAATATAAAACATGCTGTAAATCTCAGTTATTTTTATGTCATGTTTTTGGAAAGAGCGTCATTTTTCTTTTATATTCCTTTCTGAGGTAATGTATTGAGCATAATGAAGTCCAGATTCACATTAAAGACTTACTTTAAAATTGTTTTTGATGTGTATTTAAGTTTTTTCTCATGTTCAATTTTGAGATTTGTATTTTCACCTTTTAGTGACTCTTCTTGAGGGAAAACCTCCATCCAAAAGGATATTTCAGAGCATTTGTTTAATGCACATGTTACTATGTCATGTTAATGTTCCTCCACATTCCTTTACTGTTACATTTTAGAGGAAAAAAGTGTTTACTGTATTTTTGAAAATGCATTTTTCACAGAGATTGTTCAAATAAAACTCAAGTGTTTACCAAAGGAGTGACACTTTATTTTTCAGCTCATTTTACCATACCCAAATCATATTCATCACAGTTTATAACTCTGATTTCAGTGTTCAGTTACAGAGAACAGGAAAGTCTTGCTTTTATAAATAATGAAAATTATATTTAGAATATATATCGAGCAGTGAGTAAAGGTAGGATTGTATTTTGTTAATTCTCCATTTATGTCCCGACATTTTTGTTGTCATATGCAACAAGAATTCTCCAACATCAAGCTGAGCAGCAACATTCTTACATCATGATGAAATCAGTAGGTGCATGTGAGGGTCTAATTTAAAGCAATATACAAATAAGTTGATGAAAAGCAGGAAACATTTTATTTTCCACCAATTTTCTTGACTGCACATCCTTTAGTTTGTGGAGAGGTGTCTATCACCAACTGTCTGCAGGCAAGGGGTGGAGCCACCATAGGCACATGACCAGTCCTTTGCAGGGCAAAATTTTCTTTTTTTAAAAAGCTAATATCACAAGCGTCATAAATTTGTATGTATGCAATCTCTTAAAAATAAGTACAATTCAACTGCTTCATCAGGTGTGGAGGGTGCATGTAGAAAGTTTTCTGCCATCAGAATGCAGGATAGTTCGAACACTGTCTCATCACATGGGTATGGTCCTCTCTGAAGACATTGTACTTTACAAGTTTCCACAGCTTGATCAGAAACCTGCCTCAGATAATTCTGTCCACCAAAAATCTGTGGAAGTGTGTACATCATGTAGAGTCGGCCACTTGGAGCAGTGACACTTCTACACCGACGGATGATGTGGGTGTTCCATAAGTGAACAACATTTTGGAGTTCTCCCTGAAAAACAAGCAAAGAAACATCTTTAAGTACATACCGTATTCTGCACTTAAGTGCACATCCTTCCTTATACAGTATGTATCACTATTAAACTCAAACACACCTCAATGATGTTCAAACAAGTAAAAAGAACCAGCTGCTTATCCAAGAAGTCACCAGTGAAGTCATCTGAATCCTTCAATTTTTGAAAGCGGTTCATCCAGTACTGTGCATGATGTTTCCTTAAGAAAGCCCACCAGCTCTCTATACGCTGGTTGTGGTTGCTGGATCCTACAATGAAGCAGTTTATGGAATAGCTGTCATCATGATCAAGACGTAAAAATCTTTGTATGTCCTCCATTGTGCCATTCTCTGTCCCCATGTCTGTACGTATTCTGGTTGCAGTGCCCCTTCTTTTCTCAACTTCTGAAATAAAATATCCAGCAATAACTTTGGGAATACTGTTTGTGGAGTAGTATGCATGAAGCCAAATAACCATCGTGGAAAAACCATCCACTGCCCCATTGATACAAATTCCATATGGCTTCAGTTTATCATAAGAATCCACATGCCAAACAAAGCTTGGTCCAGGATTGTGGTACAGTCGACGCCTGAGGCGATTGCGCTGCCTCAACTCCACCCCTCTGGGATCCAGAATTTTCAACAAATGTCTTATTGTATTCTGAGTGACAACAAACCCCTCCTGTATGCATCTAAGGGGTTGCAGTTTGTATCCATGTAGTTTTCCAAATGTTTGTAGCTGTTCTACAAGAAATAATGCAACATCAAGAATGTCACTTTTGTTTTTTCTTCTGTGAAGCCTCAGTGTTGACATAATCCTTTGAAGTGTCCGGAGGCTGATCACTATTCCATCAACAGCGCTGAGTGACAGCAAAATTCCTTGATGTTTTAACCCTAATGAAAAGTATGCCCTAATAAGGGAATGCAATCGTTCCTTGTCTGCATCCATGAATACCGTCGTGGTTTTCTTATTCCTCCCAAAGTCTTGAGGTTAGAATCAGATCACTGGAGATGAGCTGGACAGCTGTCATCCATGCATTCAGACTCAGAGATGCAAATCTGTAAATAAAGCAGTTATTTTTACCTTTTACAGTTGTTTTTTTTAATGAATTAACATATGTTTTCAACACACTGAGCACAGGTTAGTATAAGATCAGACATTTACCTATTAAAGCATGCCAGTAGTTGACTGGATTAATTTATGGCGCTGATAAAGGCAGCTGTCATTAACTTGCTCGTGAAGGCTAATAGAACGTTCTGAAGTTACTGCTCTGTTGTGCCACACAATGAAAAGTGAATAAACGTATGAATAATCATTATAACAAGCATAGGTTATGAACACATTAGGCTTAGATGAGTAAAATACAAGTAAAATTCAAGTAAATGTCATTTAAAACTGGGTGTTAATATGACCAGTAGACGGTACCACACTGCAGATACATTCAGTAACATAGAACTGTGTTAAATCGATTCTAATTTCAGGTAGGTAAGCGTCTAAAATGTGTCACCTACTTTGTCTCTCCTCATTGCAGAAATACATTCCTCAGACAGGTTACGTTGACTTAAAAAGGCAAAAAGTGGTTCCACTGGAGTCTCCATCCTCGTCTCCCTCCGTTTCTTCCTGACGAGACTCAAACATCCGGCGAGATGTCGCCATTTTACCGTTATTAATCATGTCGTTATTACAAGTTATAGAACACGTTATTTTGAAAAACAATTCTTGTTAAAACGTGACGTTTTAACGAGAAAGTTTCTAATTTTAACAAGAAAGGATCTCGTAATAACGAGAAACTTTCTCGTTTAAACGTGATTTATATCGCGTTTTAACGAGATCATTTCTCGTTATTACGCGATCCTGGTCCTGAGTTTTTTTCCCCGCACTGACGGTAATACGCTTCTGTACATTCTCTCATGCTATTGGACAACAAACATACTGACGGCTACGGATGTCAGTCGATGGGGCAATCAGGCAATTATTAGACAAAGATGGCAAGCTGGGGTATTGATTGCGCTAAAAGACCATCCAAAGTCCTTGTTCCACGTTTGTCTGCAAGTGAAATGATGTCTCTGTACGCTCATTTGTTGGTTGAAAATGGTAAAAGGCTGTGGATTTAACACAGAGGTCTTGCTAGACATGTTTCCCTAAAACATTCCAATTCAAGGCCTCCAATTCCCTAACTACCAATCGGTTAGTGTTACATAAGGCCACACCTCCCAGAAAGAACAAATCACAGTTGTTTGAATGGCTTTCTGTCTAATTTGAAGTCCTGCAGATAGCTGTAGCATATTAAGCCCCCTCACACACACACACACACACACACACACACACACACACACACACACACACACACACACACACACACACACACACACACACACACACACACACACACACACACACACACACACACACCAGGCTCCTGTTTCGGGTTGGACTGGTTTTCCTTGTGCTGCCACACCTCCTGCTTCATACTGTATGCACGCCCCCAGTCAGACGCAGCAGTCCCAGTGTCTTATTAATGGAACATTAATGCCATTTAATGATACTTATTTATTGATGGTTACACATCAGTCCACCAAGCTTAGAAAGAACTCCCAAATACACAAAAGTATTCAATTTTACGGAGAGTAGTTTATTCTAGAGTATCTTTCACAGAGAATATCACAAAGTGTTGTACATCATAATAGGTTTTATTATAATTCATCGCACTGCTTCTGTGTTTGTTTAACATAACCTGTTTAGATTTTTATTTAAGAAATAAGATGAGTTGGCTCACTCGTCGTGTTTTTACAGTGCGTCCTTTCTGCTGAAAGGGAGCACCGGAGGGGCGTGGCCTCAGACACGGGCCCCGCCCCTCTCACCTTCTGCTACATGCCAGGTAACAGAGTGGGTGTGAGAGCAGTAAAAGCGACTGTCACAGGTAATGAGGCCATTACTGCTCTCGCCGTGACCGTGAGAGGAAGGTTTGTCAGCGGGACGGTAACCGTGGACACAACACCAGCGGCGCGAGCGGAACTACTCAGAGCTCACCTGTCCTCCTGCTCGTTGCTACCGGGGGTGACCTGCCACCATGATGAAGAAGAAGAGCACGTACGTCTTGCAGCTTGTCCTGGTGTTTCCTGTCAGCTGTGGTGTAGCCTAGTTATTATTGCTGTTGTTGTTATTAATGGAAACCATGAAGGCTGTGTGACCTTCGTAGCTCCGGTGACGTCATCCTCTCGGCACAAACCGGCCCTAACCCACTGCTGCTGCTGTTGAGCTGCAGGAGCAGACGCACCCTGCCAGCTGGGGGACGCCATGTCTCCTAAAGTCTGACAGGTAGAAGAGGGCTTTGCTGCTTGCTTCCAGGGTCCTGGATAGATTTGTGTCCAGGAGAAAACCAGTTCTGCTCTGATTTGGTTTCAAAGCTGCAGGTTCTGTTTCAAACTGAGCCTCACCTCCAGCTGGGTGTGGCAGATAAACAGGGTAATAAATGGGTTCTGACTAGTCAGATAAGTCCTCCCAGAAGGACAAACTGGGGGACATTTCTCTCCCTCCTGCAGCCCATTGCTCGAGACTGGACTGGGTTCTGCTTCAGCCCCACCAAAAGTTCTAGTCTGCTCTGAGGCTTAAAGAGCTACCTGCCAACCTTGTTCATCTCTGGCCTGCTGGTACTGTGACTAGTAGTACTGCAGTAGTAGTAGTAGTAGTAGTAGTAGTAGTAGCAGTAGTAGTAGTAGTAATTATCACAGAAAATTATTAGAAAGCTTTTTTGCTGATAAATCTGGAGTAAAGCGTCCACTTAGACGGCGTGCTGCTGCCGCTCTGAGTTAGGTGTGTTCACACACACACATGCCACTGTGACTTTGAGTTCAGGTCAGCTGATTAAACCGATCCCTGATCCTCGTGTTTCTGTCCATCCTGCCGACCAGAACCTGGAGCTCTGTGGTTTCAGTCATGTCCCTGTGTCCTGGTTCCCGATGTTCCAGCTCCTTTTCTGAGGATTCCACATTTTTCTACAGTTGTAGGGATCTTGGAGTTGGTACATGATGGAATGCTAATAATGCAGCTCCACCCTCCTGGTTCTGTTGGTTCAGTTTTTTCAAGTTTCTGTTGGTGTGTTAGCATAATAAACACAAAGCTGCTGATATGAGTCAGCTGCTTCAGAAGGGATCGGCGCTGGTCCAGAAGAACCTGATTGGTAGTCCTGCATGCAAACATGTTAAGAGTTTCAGGAATCATTAAGAGTTTTGAAATTCCTCTGATCCAAACGCAGAGGGACAGTTCCATCTGAGCCCTTTGCAGAAAGAAAAGTTCTTGTGTTGTCCTAGTACCAGCCCACACGCAAAACCCGGTTCTGTGGTTCTGGGTGTGCTGGAAGCTGAGTGAAAGATGCAGCCACTCCCTTTGGGCCTTTGGTTCCATTCGGACCTGCTTCCTTCTGTGAAAGCATGAGCTCAATGCTTCCAAAGCTCATGGTGAAAACAATACATCAGAACCAGCGTGCATCATCTGGATCCCGTGCAGGATCAGAACTGGACAGTGCTTCGGTGATGAGTGATGAATCAAGTCACTGTGGTGAGCCAGCGTTATCTGCCTGTCATTAGCACCTGGTTCTGTAACGGCGCAGAGGTCTCCCTGAGGGAGTGTGGCATTGGGATGAGTCCGTGCAGGAACTCTGACAGCTCCTTGTGCAGAACTCTGCTTTAGACACAAGCTGCAACCTGCTCTGGGATCGAGTTAGACGGTGCTGCAGGGACAATAGGTGTGTGTGTGTGTGTGTGTGTGTGTGTGTGTGTGTGTGTGTGTGTGTGTGTGTGTGTGTGTGACAGGTGGTTGATGTGAGCTGACAGACTACCACAGTGCCTGCCACATTTCCCTCTAAACCTGCAGGAGCTTGTGTTGCAGACTCGTACTTGTGTTTGATGGCAGCTGTAAAAGTTTATTTTTTAGCTTTTTAACTAATCAGTCAGTTGTTAGTTAACACAGCTGAGGTGAACATATTCTAAAATTCACCAAGTCTAGTTATTGAGCTGATGCTGATTTATCTAAAATGTTTATCATTCATAAATAATATGATCCAAACATGTAACTGACTTAAAAATCCTGACTGTGTCAGAACACTTTCAGATGGAGGTTCTGTGTGAATTAGCGTACATCAGTGGGACCTCATGTTTTCTGCTGCTGCGGGCCAGTGGTTCGCTCAGATCAGGCGCTTTAGTTCCGTTAACCCCTAGTAAAGCTGAACGCGGTGGTCGTTGGCTGGCTTCAGCCACAGATGTTTTGGTGTTTCTACATCAGACCAACATCACACAGCTGCTGCCAGATCCATTATTTACATACAAATAATACTCTAATGGTTATAAACCCCAACCCCATATAACTGAAGACCATTTTGCACCAATGATTAATATTGGGATATAATAGAATGATGCAATAATGAAAACAATATGCTTTTAATGTGTAGGAATGTTCGGGCACAACAATAACATGAATAAACAATAATCTTGTCTTTACATAAACAGAATAGTGAATTTCAGGCCCTCTGATCCTGCTTTCTGGTTATGGGGTCAGACTGGGAGGCTCCTCTGTAGCTTCACATCCAGACACCAGTTAGATCCGGTTCTGCAACAAGATCGGGGGTCCTGTCCGGTCTAGTAACATTTACAAATAATAACCTTGCCAGGGTTCTCGGGAGGATGTGCTTCAGGTGAAGGTCTGAGACCAGTCAGACTGGTAGGATCTGGGATGTGAACATTGTGTGTAATGTGGTTGATTGTTATTGTTGCCATGGTGACTGGATGAGGTGTTTGATGGATCCACAACAGCAGAAAACTGCCAGGCTGTTTTCCAGAACAAAAACATGTCAGATCCCCAAGGCTCCCTACTTTTACCCTCCAGCAGTGGCGCGTGGTTGGTTGGGCCATCATCACCCTAAGTCAAGTCTATCCAGTCAAGTCTAAGTCAAAGACAACCAAGTCCAAGTCGATTCCAAAGTCAATGATCTGGAAGTCCAAGTCATATCCAAGTCCTTGACTTTGAATTTTTAAGTCATAACCAAGTCATCTGTCCAACTTCAATTTAATGACGATGATAATAAATAAATTCCAGAAATAAAACTTCTTAAAGCTTCATTTATTTGCTCAAACAAGCAGGAAGTGCAACTGATCTAGAGTGCTGCTGCAGTTAGCGGTACAAGATCAAACCCAGAACCAAGAATCATGATTTTTGTCCATGCCGTGCTACTTTTGTGCTAAAATAGCAAATATGTTCAAGTCATCATCAAGTCAACAGATGCAAGTCGATTCAAGTCGCAAGTCATTGGTGTTCAAGTCCGAGTCATGTCGTAAGTCTTTATAGATTTTATCAAGTCAAGTCAGAAGTCATTAAAATAATGACTCGAGTCTGACTCGAGTCCAAGTCATGTGACTCGACTTCACACCTCTGATAATTATGATGGGCATGTTACTTATTGAGATTGGATAATATTGTTACCTGCATCATGCTATTTTACACCCTCCAGAGCAACGGTAATTATAATATACCGTCAAATATAAATAATTTTCATTGAGTCATGACTTTAACCTAGAAATAAGAGGCTTGGATTCGATGAAACACCACCTCCCCCATGTGAATTCTCCTGGCTGCAACCTGGAGACCACAGATTAACTCTTGCTGCAGAACACCCAGTCCGTCCCTAACGCTCACCCACCAAAATTTCTAACCATCCAACGTGTGGCTAGCGACTAGCCATTGGGTGATTTTGGAATGGTGCCAGTTAGAAGTCTGAAAATCCACCCCAGTACTGGCGGTGTTAAATCATGGTCACATTCTGGCTTGCTTGAGAGGTTCTGAAGATTAATCTGCAGAAATGGTTGGATTTTAACTCTTCTTCAAGAAGATCCTGTTCCTCTTGCAGACAAACATCTGTTATTGAGTTCTATGCTTTATTAAAGGTGCAGAATATGTGAAAGAAACAACTTCTTCACAACTTAATGAGATTAAACTCATTGCTAGCTACGTGGAGAGACTTGGTGTTAGTGTATACAGTCCAGGGGAGGAGGGATCTGAACTCGAGACTGCCTGGATGGGGAGGAGAGGGAAATTATGACACAAACCGGCCTCATCCAGGATTTTGTAACCGCTGGGCAGAAGGCAGACCATTTGCAGCTGAGACGGGAAAAGGCTTTTGTGAAGCCATAAACTACTTTGGGGGTCTTTCTCATGAGGACATTAGATGGTCAAAGCTCCAAAAAGTGGACTTTGCATAAATTAGGACCTTTTAAAAAAATAAACCCAATTAAAACAACTCCAAACCTCCACACTACACTACAGCAACAGCTGTTCCATGCATATCGGCCCTTCACAATCCAAATGTACTTTTTTATTCATTATTTCATATTTTTAAATGTAAATAAAATATATAACGCTCACAGGAGTTGCTGATTATTTATCAGTCCTCTTCCCTTTACTCAAGAAAACTTCCATAAAGAACTAATCTCTGTTTTCGTTCCATCAACAAGCTAAAATGCCTAGCCATGTCCAGCTGTTCTAAAAATGTCTGACTTGAAAATGGAATTTAATAACTCCTAGGAACAAATCCATTTCTTCTCCGTCAGCCATTGGGGTCATGAGATAAAACATAAAAGGGTAATGTTCCCTGAGTGTAGAGGATGTACTGTGCTGGGAAAGCTTCATGCTGATAGCTTCTCTGTGACCATCCAATCAGAGGACAGATACCCATGACACCGCAGCGTACTGACCAAGGGCAGATTACACCCCCCCGGCAACACAGAGACTGAAAAGTAGATTCACACAATGTCACTGAACAAACATGATATAAGTTGTAGGAATAAGTTAGTGATTCCAGTTTAGCATGAAAATGACGGACATCTTTCTTTAGATTCTGGCCAGTCAGCTCTTTTATGCTTAATTAGCTGTTGGCTCATTATCATTGGCATGTTTGTGTTGGTGTGTCATTTATCGTAGTTTGTTTGGTGCAGATTGTTTTAAACTCCAGGGTTGGAACTAGCCTGGCCAGCCAGACTCCTCCTCTGTTTCATTCCGCACAGAGAAAGGGCCTGGGAGCTCTCCTATTCAAATAGCCCCGCCCCCTGAGAATTCTAGAATTCTTGAATGTCTTTAAAACCACAAGTGGAAGCGCTAAAAGTATTTCCTCAAAAAAAAAAAAATGTTTGCCGCGTTGCCAGATGCCGTTTTTGACTACAGCGTCGCGCAGTACAGTCGGCATTTCCGTCTTTTTTCTGATTGGTTACTTTGAGCTGCCTAGTCCCGCCCTTCAAGTGCCTCTCTGCCTGTGAGTTCCCAGACTCTCTCTCTGTGCAGAATTAAACAGAGGACGAGTCTGGCAGGCCAGGCTAGTTTGGAACCACCCAGCAGGAAGACTTTGAGAGACGGTTGACTGACTGGTAGAGCATGAAGCCCACGGGATTCTGGGATGTCTCGTATCTTGCAGTAATTTAGTATTCAGAAATGAGGTTGTTTCCAGTCTAAGCTTTCCATTCTGGATAAACTCAAAAACAGACATGGACACAAAGGTTTCTGTGTGGATTAAATTTAGTTTCGTGTCTCCTTTGACCCATCTGTCTGTCTTACAGCAGTACCAGCTCAGATCTGGCCGTCCTCATTGAGAAACTGCAGAAGAATGGAGATAAAGTGGAGAAGAACATCTATGATTCTGAACAGAACCTCAACAAGGTAAAGCTACCAACATAATCCAGTCTGATGGGCATGCATCAGTTTAACTAACATGTATTAGATAAACAATGGCCTCAGAAGGAGGTGATCCGAGCAGCTTCATCGTTATGCTGCGTTTAGGAGCCAAGCAGGAATTCTGGTGAGTGGATTCTGCTGGAGCAGAGATTAAGATCCAGGTTTAGGAAGTCAGACGTGATACCACCAGGTTTCGGTTATACCAGCAGAAGGGTTTAGTGCATCCTGCTCTAAACTGTTCTGGGCAAAGTTGGGTTAAAACTGGATTCTTTGAAATCTACCAGGAACATTGCAGGTTAGGCTTGATGACCACCAGGGGTCTGAACCACTCGAACCAGTGATACACCAAATTGTTCCTAATCCTGATAGATGATCATTATTATCTATCAGACCGGCTGTTTAAATCACGTCTGTTTCCAGTCACTTTGAACACATTGTGATGAACGTATTTCTACGTATTTCTTAGCTGCATTTTCTACTTTTTAACCTTGCTTCAATGTTGGAGTTTTTTGCTTTTATGTTTTAAATGTGTGTGCAATGTAGAGCACTTTGGTTGCAACGATTCAGCCAAAACCAACGCATATTCCTTTATATGACCTTATTTTTTCCTTTGAAGAAAACTTTAATGGTTTTGTAATAAAATCACTGCTTAAAATAACTATAAACTACTTTTAAAGATATGATTTAAGACCAAACTACTAGGACATGGGAGCAGCAGTGCTGACCCTTTTGTTTGGGTGTGTTACAGGATGTGAGTAAGATTAACGAGGGGAAGCAGCCTCTGTATCAGGAAGACACCAGCAAGAGAATCCAAAACTCTTTGGAACTACTGAAGATCCTGGATGAGGATGCGGCTAATGCCAAGCGCCTCCAGCACCCTCAGGCAGAGATGATTGCACAAGAGTGAGCCCCTCTCAGCTCTTACTCTAACACTTACAGGGTAGCTGCTGCCCTGAGAAGATCCGTTTAGCAAACGTTCTCCTCTTTGATTTGTCTGCAGCATGATTCAGCTGCGTGAGAGAGTGATGAAGCTGAAGGAGGATCACGAGCGCATCTACCGTCTGAGCCGCTCCGAAGGGATGCCCAGCGTCAACTGGGGCAATATCATAGATGAGAAACTGGTGAGAAGCACATCTGCACAGGGTGCACTCCCTCAGGAGCAGCAACCCTCTCTGTTCGCGTCCTGAAATGACGTTTGCGCCTTCAACTGTAAAAACGTCACCCGGACTTCTACACTCTGAGCCGGTTTTACCTCCTGTCCAAGTCCAGTTAAGTGTTACTTATAGGTGCTTGGATTTGTTTCTCTCCCAGGACAACCTGAACAATAAGGGCTTTGGCCAGGATCTGCCCACTGTGGAGACCGAGGTTGAGGAGCACAACATCTTCCACAGTGAGGTGGAGGCTCTGGCTCCTCACATTGCTGCTGGTGGAGACAAGGTAGACCCAACAACCCAGAGAAGCAGGGCCAAAACACAAACCCATGACTTCTGAAGGAAAGCTATCTTCTAGAAGACCTGTCCCTCATGATTTTGTCCCTCTGTCTGTGTGCAGGAGTACATCAACAGCCTCCAAACAAGCTACAAAAAACTGCTGGTAAGAAACAGACAGCAGTGATTTTTACACACGTACCATCCTTCTCCTGTATGTGGACTTTCTGTAGATATTGGTTTATTTAGTAATAATTGCTTAACAAAATTTGTTTTTACTCGTTCACCCAGGCCAGCTCCACAGCTCGCCAGAAACACCTGCTGACCCTCAGGGACTACATGCAGCGCTGCACCAACGAGCTGTACTGGATGGACCAGCAGGCGGAGGAGAGGTCCAATTACGACTGGAGCGACATCAACCTGGACTACCCCGCCCGCCAGAGACAGTATGAGGTACGTGAGGACCACACGCCATCGTGTTCACACAAAGACATAAGACCCAGTCATGACCTAACTGTGCGTCTGCCCAACAGAACTTTATCAGTAAGTGTCTGGAGTCCAAGGAGGCCACCATCACCAAGCTGAACGATGATGGACAGAATCTGATCGCTTCAGGCCACCCGGGGAAGATGGTGATCGAGGTACAGACTCGTCTATCGGGTTCCTCTGGCTCTCTTTACCTGCAGAAATACCTATTTTCTGGTTAGACTTGACATAACAGATTACTGACGCTGAGTCGCGTTTATCTCTAAATACAAGCACGACTTAGTTTTAGATGAGATGTGTGTATTGTTCGAGAGGCCCCAGTTGAGGTGGCTCGGGCATCTGGCTAGGATGCCTCCCAGACGATTTCCCGGTGAGGTTTTCCAGACCCTCCAACCGGTAGTAGACCTTAAGGAAGACCCGGGACACGCTGGAGGGACTATATCCAGGGAATGCCTTAGGATTCCCCCAGAAGAGCTGACCCATGTGGCTGGGGAGAGGAGAGTCTGGGCCTCTCAACCCAGGCTGCTGCCCCCAGAACTCATCCCTAGATTAGCAGAAGAGAACGATGGATGGGTGGTGTGTAATGGCCAAAATCTAATTAGAAACACGGTAACACATGATAAAAAAATTTCAGATCCACGGGACTCTAGCCAACCTCACTAGACTTGGCTGCAGGAGGAAAATTGATGACGGATCAAAAAGACAGACAACCTGAATAGTAACAAAAGAGCCCAGAAAAACTTCTAAAGAGATCTAAAGTGAACTTCAAGTTCAAAGAACCTCACAGTCAGATCGCACCATTCGTCGTTGTTTGAGCCAAAGTGGACTACAAAGGCGACGACCAAGGAGGACACCATTGTTGGAAACAAATCATAACAAGGCCAGACTGGAATACCAAGGCTCATCAGCTCCACGTTCACAGACAGAAAAATGAAGCACATCAAGAAAAGAACACAGTTTCTACTGTGAAACACGGAGGAGGCTCTGTCATGATCTGGGGCTGCTTTGCTGCATCTGCCACTGGGTGTCTTGAATCTGTGCAGGGTACCATGACATCTCAAGACCATCTAGAGATAAATGTGGCAGTCAGTGTCAGAGGTGTGGACGTAATTTTGGGGGGGACAGGGGGGACATGTCCCCTCCCACTTTTTCCAAAGTCAACTTTTGACCCCTGCACTTTTTACCATCCAAAAACAACATTACGCTATATTAAATTGACACTGGTTGAGCTCTAGGACCGAGCAGAAAACAACTGTTTGTGTTGAAGCCTGTTTCCCATTAGAGCATACTGTAAAGATACCCCCCCCCCCCCCCCCCCCCCCCCCCCCACACACACACACACACTTCTAAAGTGAAAATTACATCCATGGAGAGAGCTTGGTCTCAGTCACAGGTCGTGGGTCTTGCAGCAGGACAACGACCCAAAACACGCAGCTAGAATCACCCAAGAATGGCTTCGAGAAAACATCGGACGATTCTGAAGTGGCCTTCTGTGAACCCTGACCTCCTATTGAGCATCTTAGAAAGAAGCTGAAACGTCGTCTGGAAAAGGCGCCCTTCAGACCTGAGACAACTGGAGCAGTTTACTCATGAGGAGTGGGCCAAAATACCTGCTGAGAGGTGCAGGAGTCCCAGTGGCAGTTACAGGAATCGTCTGACTGCCTCAAAAGGTCGTAGAACAAAATATTAGGTTAGGGGTACCATCATTTTTGTCCAGGCCTGTTCCACGAGTTTGTTTTTAATAATTCCGCTGAAGCACGGCTGAAAAGCAACGTCTGATTTTCACTGGTTTAATTTCATAGAATTTGTATTTATTATTACTTTTGTCAAATTCAAGTTTCTGTGATCATTGTGGGTTTTTCTTTCTTCGACTGAAGGGCACCAACTGTTTTGTCCACGCATGTATATGGAAATATGATTTTATTTAGACTGGCATCACCGTTTTTATTTTCAAATGAATTGTAAAAATGAATGTTTGAGCATTTCAGCCACTAAATGTTTTTAATTCAGTAGTTCAGCCTGGTTCTGTGGTGAGTCGTGGCTGTCTAGCACGTATGAATCCCTCCAGATCACCAACATTATAGCCGTCCTCAGTGAATGTCTAAAGCTAGGAGGGACCTTACTCAGACACAAAATCAGCTGACAGAAGCATGTTCTTCCTACCAAACCTGGATTACTCCTCATATTAGATTAAAATGATCTCCTTTGTCTGTGGAAACCACGTTTCGCTTCTCAGACGTGGACAGTCTGCGGGATGGGAGGCTTTTAGGATTAATAAGATGCAGCGACTGAAAAACAGCCTTTAAAACGTAATCTTAGTCCATTTAAAAATGGTGACCAAATCCCTACACAGTTGTGTTTCTAACCTGACTTCTAGTGGATCGATGGATCTGGGTTGCTGCTTGGCAGGGTTTGTTCCTAAAGGGCGCTTTGTCTGATCTTTAGGCTCATATGGATGCTGTCCACGCTGACTGGAAGGAGTACCTGAATCTGCTTATCTGTGAAGAAAACCACCTCAAACACATGGATGAGTACCACAAGGTGAGACTAACAGCTCAGGTGATACCGAGACATGGCCCATGGAAATGACCAAACTCATCTGGAGTCGGCTCCTGTTTGTAGTATCACAAGGAGGCCCGCGACACTCAGGATCTGCTGAAGCGACTGGACACGGAGGTGA